AACCCCAACTGCTCTCTGTCTGATTGGCTATATCTTTTGATGATGATCTGTGATTGGTGGATATGTAGGACAGTTGGTGGTGGTGACAGTTCCTTTCATTCTCACTTTAGCCGTTAAGCCCTCGAGCGTCCTAGACAAGGACCGAGGTGTGCTGTAACAGAGCTTGCGCTGATTCCTGGGAGCTTGCGCCTCCCCTCGATCGGTGTTATTTGTGAGGAGACTCTACGAGTCGCCACAGGCTCCAGGGTTGTTGTATTGAAGGGGACCACGTGCAGGTATACATCTCGTCGCCAACATCGTTTGAATCGACTGGCCACGTCGTTCGAGGCATCATGGCGCTCTGCCTCTTTACACGGCGACCCTCGAGCTGGTCTAACAAACCGACGGCGTCCTGTTGAATTTCAACGTGGCCCCCTTGCCATCGTACAAGTCAGTCTTGGGCAAATGTGCATGGGTCATCGTCGTCATGGCGTGGACGAAAGAGTTCACGGGGTTCTACCTGACGTAGTCGAGTCTGTGCCGACCATCGTGACGCTCGTGTCTGTGGTCCACCACGATCGAGTCGCAGTTGTCGGATGGGCCAAGTGGACGCCGAGTGCCACAGCGTTGCCGCAAATGGCTCACATCTTTCAGTCCACCGCTGCTGCGACCGTCGCTATCGCGACAGTACCCGTCATGTCCAGTACGAATCGTCGCGGCACCATCATTGCCAGCGATAGGCACTTCGCCGTCACAGCATTGGACGGTCGTAGTCCAGTACGGGTCACTCTGGAACCTACTCCGGCTCCGTCAAGAGTCTGCTGCTCACGAAACCCGGGACGTCCACAAATGCGCTGCATTCGAAGTAGTCCGTGGTCAGCATCAAGCAGGTGCTTCCGGTGGCGGCGCTGTCCTGGGGTCATCGTCGATCACGCCGTGGTCAACGCCATTCAGGGCAGCCCTGGTCCGCTGACGTCTTCAAGGGGCGGGAGTTCGATCAAGAGGACGAGTGCGCCGACGACAATTGCTCGAGAACAGCCGAGTCCTGAAAACCTTATTGCGCTACTATAGCCTCCATTGGGACCATCCATGAAAGCCTTCATCGTGTGCAAGCATGACCAGACGATGCATCTGGCTACAAGTCGCACTGCACCAGGCATGGCACACATCACAGCACCAACCTCTCCAAGACACAAGTCTTCCGACCAGAAGCGTGTGGATATAATAATGTCATTCGTGCCGACAACAACGACGATGCTTCTAGTCGACGCACCCTCGCGTTGGCTGGACCCCGACGTGTGAAGCCTGGTGCCGCGGCACGAGTTTACAGGTGGCCAAGTTTCAAGTGGTGGACTTGCTCCGAGTTGAGCGGCTGCAGCGCCGACTTGTTCTTTTCCCGGGCTTCGCTGTTCTTGAGCGCTTGGACGGCTTTGTACTTTTGGTAGAGGAGGACAACTTGGCGGACCATGAGGCCCACGAGCACGAGCAGTTGAATGGCCACAATGACACCGGACACGGCGTCGTGGAACGATGACGACAGGCCCGCCACCGTCGAGACCAAGAAGATCGACAGCACCAACGTCAGAATTTTCAACACGGTCAGGACCGACATCGAGTGCTGCATGAACGGGGTCTGAAAGGGTTGGCACCGCTCCAAGTGGACCAAGAAGACAACGTGAAAGCACAGCACAAGCACGACTTGGGTTGCGTTGCTGAGAAAGGCCGCGCCCGTCGTCATCCCGCACAGCAGCGCGAGCAACATCTTGGGCGCGAAGAAGAAGCGGTTTTCAAACGTGTACTCGTCGTACAGCGCGCCATACCGCCTGGCGACAGGTTTCTTTGTGTGGGCCACAATGTCATCGACGTCGGTCAGTTCCGCCTCGTGCTTGCGGACAATGTAAATGCCAAAGACGAGGATCCCCACCGCGAGGAACAGCAGCGACGCAAGCGCCAAGTAGAACGAGTACATGTACGAGTTGGTTGTGGCACTCAGGTAGATCTGGTACGTCGCGGTCACGCCGATTGCGTACTGCGACGCCAGACCCAGCACCACCATCGCGCCGACAAGTTGGTGGAACCACTCGCTCGCATATCCTCTGCCTGGGCACACGAGTGTGGCAAGGCCTGCGGCTACACCATACAGCGCGCCCATGGCCGCTCCAACGACGGCGATCCCGACCAACGTTGTCACAAACAGGTTGAATTTCGAAATCCCAAGCGTGACAGCGTACTTGCAAATGCCGTCGGCGCACTCTTCGTCCTGCGCGAGGTCTCGCCCCTTGGATAGCGAGGACGGCGGCGGGCCAGGACCTACCTCAATGAAGTTGAACACGGCGTACTTCATCGACGTCCCGAGGCTTGCGAGGGTGGCAGACTTTTGACTGAGCGGGAGCTGGTTCAAGAGCGACCCGAACTGGACAACGTCCAAGGTCACGAGCATCGCAGACGAAGTGGCCGCCGCGGACGACGCCGCAGCCGCGGACGACGATGTTGTCCCCAAGATGGTGCTGGACACAACAGCTACCGCTGTGACGGCGACGGTGGCCGTAGCGGTGGACTGGGAGATATGAGCAATTTGAGGCAACGGCGCGGACGGATCGAGATACCCTGGGGTGTATTTGTTCTTGCCGGACGCGTCCGTGCGATTTTGAGCGGTTGTTCCGTTGGGAGACGTCCCGTTGCCTAGGGGCCACGAGCTATTGCCTGATGGAAACGCAAGGCACGAGCATTCTTGCGTCGTCGACGAGTCTTTGGTGCACGACCCGTTGGCAAATGCCGCAGCTCGGAAGGACGAGGCAGAGAGAGGCACGAGAAGCGACACGTCTACGGACGCGTACACGTTCGAGAGAAAGCCGGTCGTCGTGGCATTGGTGGAACCTGCTGGAATCAATTCCCCGTACCGCCAAGCAGACCCATCGCAGGACGGGAAGCTGCACAGCGCGCGGCAGCTCGAAATGTCCGTGTACGCGACGCACGCCGCAGCCTCGACGGCCAGATCAATGTCGATCTGGGTACCGTTGCACGTGATGTTGTGCGTGTGCCATTTCGAGTAAAAGTGCGCGTCGCAGATGAAGGTCGTGGTTGTCCACGGCGATGGAGGGGGCGTGATGACCGACGACGATGCGTTGGCTGCGGGAGTAAGCGTGGGGGTTCCAGTAGCAATGGGAATTGCGGTAGTCGTCCCTTGCGTGCTGGTTGCCGATGGAGTGGTGGTCGGTGGCAGTGTCTTTGACGACGTTGTCGAGGGAAGTGGTGCAATGGCAGCTGTGGTTGTCGGAGTCATTGTCGTTGTGGCAGGGGTATCGGTGGGCGATGTGGCTATCTCGGCAAGTCGACGAAGATTGTCCGTCGATTCTGACGCGACCTCTTGTGTCGTTGTTGGCACCACGGTCGAGGGTTGAGGTGCAATGGTGGTATTTCGTCCGGCCGTGGTGGTGGTGGGAGCACGCGTGGGAGGAACGAAGGTAGGGAGAACCGTTGTGCTTTGATTGTTGGGCGGCTGGGTTTGATTCGCGTCGGCCGTCGGGAACGGCGCAAGAGATCCCGTGGAGGTGGGCAGCGGGGTGACCTGGGACGTCGGGTTCGAGACAGCACCCACACGGCATACACGAGGAGCTCCGTGGACAGCGGCGGTGCAGACCAGCGCCGCCACCACAACTGTCACGTGGCGTCGCATACTCCTTGTGTCCAGCCACACGTCGTGGCAAGAATTGCGACTGGCGCTGTCCTGGTGGGATGGGTGAGCTCAGAGGCTCGACGACCGTAACCACGTGAGCAACTCAGTCGTTGCACTTGAAACATTAAATGCTACAGGGTCTTGTATAAATTGATACAGCAAAAGGCAAATTCGCACCGTCTGATTCGATAAAACTCTGCGAAATTTCCTTCGCGACCGTATGGCGACTGACACGTTGCCACACGCAAACCGCCCCCCGTCGATATCTCACCTCCTCGTCAGTCGCGCAGGCCCCAACGCAGTGTTCGGGTGATTCACAGCCCCACCCAAGGCCACGCGCGCGAAGGCTGTGCATGGGCCTCTCTTTCGGGGAATAAACGGCGTATCCAGAGCGTGGGGGCTGTCTCGTGGGGCTTACCCAGTACGCGAAGCGTGTTCCGCCAACGGTGCGCAGGTCGAATTTGCAGCTCGATCGCATCGGGCGACGGGAATGACTTAAGCAGGTGGGGAGATTGGCAGCCCTTATTGCGTCGGGGGATTTTGGGCTCATGCTGCTCCACCCGTTTGGCTGCAGGTTGACCGTACGAGGGTGTGCAATCTTTGTTTGGTCACCGACCGAGCCAAAGTCCTCGCTCCCGTGCACGTAGCAGTCGACGAGCATCACATGCTATGGCAAACACCTTGCACACGGCATCTGTTGGGGTGCTGTCCTGACAACCTGTTAGAGGTCAAAGAACACATACAAATTCCACCCGATCCACCATGTCGACGAGTCCATGCAATGGGTTCAGGGACGTCCCAGGGGAGCCACAGCACCAAAAAGTTGGTGCGACGGTGGCTCAGGTCCGTCTGCGATCGACATGCTGGTCGCGAAATCGATTGCGACGCTGTGCCGCATCGCCTGAGCATGTTGAAACGATCGCCCTCCCTCGTTGCCTTTCGTAACGTTTCGGAGTCTGTGCAAAAACGTCGGCCCATTGTCCTTCTTCGCCGCCATGCCCTTGTTCTTTGCAAGGGGTCGCACTCGCGTGACGATATGCCCGGGCAACGTCCCGACGGAAATCGCGTCAGCGCCACTCCTTGGCCCTACGAACGACGACGACTCATGCGCCGACCCTCGCTTGCTGGCCATGTCGCCTGTTGGTCGGGGGGCGTTGTCCACAACGTGCTCGAGCCCGTCCAAATATCGCCGGTCGAACCTTCCTTTTGCATTCCATTGCAAGGTCGAGCGCATTCGCCAGCGGACGGGGAGCCTCTACGGGCTTGCACTCATCGCCGGAGGCAACGTCATCTTTAGTTTCATGGCCGTACGCATGTCGGGCATGGCGGCGACCCCCTTTGACATGTCGCTAGGTGCTGATCAAGTCTGCGGGCAACTACTTGACCTCCGAGGAAACCGTGTTCTGGCGATCGACAGTCGCCCTCGTCCTGAACGTGGTATGGCGACCCCCCCCATCCATCCCCACGCATCACAAACACACTCGTCTAGGCCATTCAGCTTCGATTGAAGATATCGCCGTTCGCTGTGGCCCCCGAGTTCCGCAAGCTCCTCGTGTGCCGTGCCGTGATCGGATACATCGCGATGGCGCTTTCGTTCTACGCGTACTCGACCATGATCTTGTCCGAGGCGCAGGTCATTCTTTGCGCGTCGCCCCTCGTCACATTCGTCCTGGTCCGTGCAATGCCTCTTGAAACTACCCGTCGGTCTGTCTTGGCTGGCTGACCGGGCCTGTTTCAGGGTGTGTGCTGTCTCGGCGAAGTGCTGGATCGCATCGAGTTTGGATGTGTCGCCGTGTCGTTCGTGGGAGTTGTTTGCGTGGCACGCCCCGCGTTTTTGTTTGGCGGGCGGGCTACGTCGGCAGCGTCGAATGGTCCGATGGCGTGTGCTATCCTCGCGTCGTGCTTGATTGGAGTCATTAACATCCTCATTCGAAAGCTCAGCGCGCTCAACACGTGGACCTTGGTCACGTACGTGTTTCTGTCTTGCAGCACGTTTTCGTTGTTGAAACTCACCGTGTTCGACGAGGTAATGACGTGTGCGACGGTAGACGACCCTGACTCAAACACTAGGGGCTGTCCATCCCGACCGACCCCGCGCACGTGCTTACGGTTCTCGGCATTGGAATCCTCGGGTGCGTCGGCCAAATCATGATCACCAAGGGACTCCAAATTGAAAAGGCCGGGATCGGGTCCGCCATGATGTATATCAACATTCTGTGCGTCATGGTGTGGGACGTCACCCTCCTCGGCGAAACTCTCCACGCATGGAGTGTCCTTGGCGCAGCCATCATTTGCACGGCCGCGTTCACGATTGCGTATCGCAAGGCCCGTCGACGTAGCAACTAACGACCACACAAGATGGTTTGAATCGTTGTCGAAAGGAACCTCCACGGCCCATGGTTTGAATCCGTCGTCACGGAAGGCGGCGGCATAGTACGCAGCGAGAGGCAGAAACGACCACACCGTGAATGTGTCTGCCGTAACTGGGGAAATGGTGTCTCAGCAACGCACGGGGAAACCCTGTGTGGTTGACCCAATTGTCCATGATCCGACGCCCTATCGCATGCAGGTGGCGCATGCTATCTGTGGCGACAAGTGCGCCTTTTCTATAGCCAGGCGCATGGACTATTTGTCGCGAGCTTGTGTGGCGTGGTTCACAGCGAACTGGCAGCGCAGAACTTGCGACTAGGCTGCCCTGGCTTGGGTCCACTGTAGAGCAAGACATTTTGTTGTGTAGATGCACCTGCCCGCTTTCCTTAAGCTGTGATTCCATGGGCCATCCGCAGCAAAGTCGAGTCGGTGGGAGTATCTTCACCAGATCCATTGCAAAATATTTATTCTAAGAGGTCCATTCGAAATCGTCGATCAATTGATAGAGGTAAGCAGTTGAACTTCTGCTGGAAGATCGCGGCGGCGGCTACGTCATGGACACCGTGGAGAAGCTACAGGTGCTGGGCAAAGGCGGCGTTGGACGGTAATAAGCCCCTTGCTACAGCGACCCCTCACTGTAGAGCTTGATGTGTAGCGTGTATTTATGCGTGGACAAGTTGACTGGACAGCACGTGGGTACACTAGAGACCTTGTTGCAATGGTCGCGACCCTCACGTGGACATTGCGCGACGGTGTGACTGTAGCTGTGAAAGAAGTCGAACGAACTTGTCCAAGTCGCATTGCACGGCTGGATGCAGAGAAGGACGCGCTTGGTTGCATCTTGCAACGCACGTTTGACGTCGACGATGCAACTTTCCTCGTCATGGACTTCTTTCCCGGTGAACCGTTGTACAAATGCCTGTGGCGCCGACGTCAAGGCTTTCCAGAAGCGTTTGCCAAGCAATGCGTCGCTCAGATTGTCATGGAGTTGCTGGGTTTGCACGGTCGTGGCTACATGCATCGCGACCTGAAAACAGGCAACGTTCTCCTCGACTCGGACGGCACGTGCCACTTGATCGACTTTGGATTTGCCAAGCGCGTACAAGCTGATGAAGTCGAAGGTGACAATCGAACCGACGGTCGCCGCGCGATGTCGTTTGTGGGCACACATTATGCGATGGCCCCCGAGATATACCGTGCTAGGTGGAATCAGCCGGGCACCTCCTACACCTCTGCCGTCGACTGGTGGTACAAAGCGAGCATGTTTGTGTCGCAATCAACGTCCATACAGGGCTCTTGGTGTCTTGACGTTTGAGCTGCTCCATGGGTCACCCCCGTGGCCTTACAAATGTGAAGACGGCGACCTCCTGCGATATGCCGCTCAGGTTGAGAAGCCCATCGAATTTCCACGGCACGCCCACTTTGACAGCATGGACGTTCGCGACTTGATATCGTAAGCGTCATGCACTGCAAAAGTTGTTCGTGCTGCTGATGGGTGTGCTTGGTTAGACGGCTTCTGTGCGTCGATCCGTCGGCACGCCTCGTCGGCGCCGCCGTCAAATCACATCGTTGGTTCGCTGGGATCAACTGGGAGGTCTGTGTGGCTGAGCGATGTTCTTTCAGCCCTTTTTTGCCACTGAAGCAATCGAGGCAATCGATTCATTGATTGTACGCGTAGGACCTAGTGGTTATACCTACAACCGACGTCGTCCCACCGCCCGAGACCGTGCCACCCCTTCCTGACAGCGCCGAGAGCGTCACGTCGGCCGAGAACGCTCTCTTTGCAGGGTTTTAGCGTTTAGAAGAGTGCCCCTGAATGCACTGATGACTAGCGTGAACTACGTGCTACTGAGTTTTACATAACCGTGGCGCGAAAAGCGACGAGAGAGGGTCACCGTGAGCATCGGACAGAATAATGTTTCGCTGGTCATTCTTGCCAGTGCTTCTAATCACTCAATCTTGCTGGAGCTCATCCCCTCGGTGCAAATGCCTGCCCAGTTAAGCTCCTCGCCAAGCTCGATCCAACCACGACATCGTTGAAAGCTAAGATTTGCGCGGATTAACGACCTCTGGCCAATGGCAATGAAACTACAACAACACGGATCGCATCGCGTCGCGCGCCTCCTTAGCTGCATCGCTCATCGGCGGTGTAACCTCCTGCACGAGTTCTCTTGTGGCTATGGGCTCTGCTGCATAGACTTCGTGCACAATGCGTTGAATTCGAGGCCCCCGATCGTTTTCTGGTCGATGTATCGCCAGTAGTTCTGCCATCTTCGCGTAGGCATGGCGGCGGTAGCTCCACGCTTCACCTTTTTGCCAGTCGAAGAGCGGATTGGCTTTCTCTGCGGCCCCAGCGACTTGATCAACCCAGTCTGCAAGTACAAGCTCCACAAAATCTAGCCATTCGTTTGTCGAGGTGGCTGGTGGGAGCGGAAACCGGCCGAGTTCAGGCCGTGCCAGCAATTGGGGCGGCTCGTGTCCGACGGAGTCCGGTCGAAGCAACAACGCGTCGTCAAACACCTTTCGGTCCACAACGCAAAAACTCCACACAAGTTGCTCGGCACGGGGTCCAATCAACCGTCGGATCTCGGGGCGGCGAAGGATCGGCATCTTGAAGCCTTGAAACCCCTCCGTTCCGTACAACGAATGGAATAGCCCCGCCGTGCACACTTCTTCGTCCGCGCCAAACGTCCGCAAGACAGATTGCACGCCAACGAGGTGTTCATCGAACGCGGCGTCTGTGACGTGTGTGTGACGATGGCGTATCCGTGAAAAATCAACAAGCGCCCATACCTCCAGTGTGGGCCAAGGCTTCAGGCACAGATGCCTTCAGGAACTTACGCAGCTTCACATCCATGCTCTTCCACGAGGCTGTGCGTGCAGGGTCAGCGGCAAACGTCTTGGCCTTCCATGTGTCGATCACATGCGACTTGGCGACCACGCCGAGGGACGTTGTCAGCCGCATGGCGGCGGAGAGCGGTGTCCTCTCCTCATTGATTGGCTACAATGCAGCCAATAAGAACGCGGCTCTCCCGCAGGATTCCCTGAGATCGTCCAGTCTCTGGGCATGCCAACGCCATCGGCTTGGTCGTGATAAAGCAGGGCAAATGCACGGGGCGCGTATGCATCGAGCCACACAAACGGTGGTGGCATACATCTTGTGGGGCAGCTCGTCGTTCGAAGCTGCGTTCCACCGGATGCGACGTCGACCGTTTGTTATCCGGACCCCCCACGCGAACGCAGGCGGCATTCCATTCACTTGGTGTTTGTATGGTAGTGCGTGGAATTAAAAAACGAAACGTATGCATTGTCACAGGTTTTATCAAGTTTGGCTGGTGGCGGAAGCGATTGGTCTGGAACCAGTCAAAAGGCTCCAACCAATTTCAAGTGCCGCAGCGCTCAGTATCACTCACTCAATTGATTCAGCAGGAGGTACGTCGGGCTGGCATGTCGATGGCGAGGAAGGGTGTGTTGACGGCGCTGCATGCGTAGAGAAACATGGTCGCTTCGGAAGGTCAACCTACCCGTTTGTATGTGAAGGGTGTCTTTATGGGGTACAAGCGCGGCTTCACCAACCAACACGCGCACACGTCGTTGGTGCAAATCCAAGGGTTGCAAGACCGCAAGGACGTCGACTTTTACCTTGGCAAGCGCATTGCGTACATCTACAAGGCCAAGGCGTTGAAGAACGACTCCAAGTTCCGCGTCATCTGGGGCAAGATCACCCGCGCCCACGGCCAAAACGGCGTGGTCCGCGCCAAGTTCCGCAAGAACCTCCCCGCCAACGCCATGGGCAAGCCCGTGCGCGTCATGTTGTACCCTTCCCGAGTGTAAGAGGCTGCCAACAGACATCAATTGTTGATCAATTTTCTCATTCCGCGGTCTCTGTCGCAGCCGCTGCTCCCACCCGAATCGTCTTCCCTGCTGCGGCATGATGGCGTCCACGGTGCTGCAGCTGCGTCGACTGATTAACGAAAGTGATATTGTAATAAAGAGTGGGTTCCAAATCATCACTCCAACTGCAGGTCTGCCGCTCTCGTGCATCTCGTCGGATGGGATGCTTCGCGGGGACTACAGTCTACCCCCTGCAGGACAACGCTCTTTGCGAGGGATTGCGACTTGAGTTGGCTCATCGTCGATCACACTGCGTCCCCATGGCAGCGCTCATGCAACCAGAAATCATCGCCAAACAGACGAGCCTATGGGGTATTAATAGCCAGCGTCCACATCATCGGCCACAGCCAATGTGCCAGGCCGCTGTCTTTTGCCGCACACGACGTAATCCATCATGCTATGTAGCAAGGACAACTTGCTCGCTGCGGTTCGCACGAGCAGTGCGTTGGAACTGGTACGGTTGGACAAGGCTCCGTTTTGTTGGACGGCGTGGACCTATTCTCCAAACTCATGCACGATCTGCCTTTGTAGGTGCTGTCGTTTGTCCTGCTTGTCATTGGGGTATCGCTTGTGACCTCAACGCATTTCCGAATGGCACTCGGGCCATCTGTCGGTAGCGCTGGAGGCGGTGCGAGACATATCGATAGCTACCTCATCCTATGCTCACGGGTCTAGGGTGCCTCTTTCTAGCGATTTTGTACGTAGTGCCAGCGTGGTTTGCGCACTACGCGGCCAAGTACCACAATAAATTCATGCTGCTTGTCGTATGTAGCCAGCCACGGACCGACCGACTAACCCATCGATTGAGTAGCACACTGTCTTGCTAGGGGGCATCGTGGCACTCCAGCTCATCATTGGCGGCGCCACGTACGCCTCGGCCCTTCCGTCGTTCTCGTACGACTTTGTCGGGACGTGTCTGGTCAACGTACGTAGTCCTTGGTGTTTTCCAACAGTGCGCCGCCAGCCGCCTTTGTCCAACCAAGTTACATTCTTCTTGCACTGGTGCAGGCGTACCTGCGCAACGAAACACTTCGAGCCGCCTGTCAAGAGTACTTTGAGGTTCGTCCACGGCTCGTGAGCCCAACACAATCGAGGCTCGCTCGAACGCGCACTGCTGCCGTAGAGCGACGAGTACGCTGGGCTCATGTTGGCCTGGCAGACATATTTCAACGAGACACTCGAAACGCAGACGGCATCCAATGTTGGTCAGTTTGCCTCCTTGCCGTCGCTCACACCGTCGATTCCAACGACGTAGATGGTCACCGTGCTGCAAGACAACAGTGTGTGCTGTGGCCTAGGCCCGCCCGAGCACTGTCGGCCAGACTACCGGCCATTCCCCACCACGTTTCCATCGACGGACGCGGCGGTCCGCCAGGCATGTTCGACGAAGGTAGTGTCAGCGCCGCCAATGCCATAGCCAACATGTTTCGTAGAGTGGGTACTATCCAGCGTCGCCGTCGTGCTACAAGGGGGGCAGTTGCGCGTACGACTACCCCATGGGAAGCTGCGGACTCGTCGGTGTCGCGGGGAATTCCATGGGGTGCTTGCTTCCTTGCCATTGTAACCCACCACACTTATGGGTGCGACCTCCTGATTGTAGTTGTGCCAAGGCATTTCACCAGCACTTTTCCTACTCGGTACGCACATGACTCGGTTGTTCGACGCCGTCCGCCGTGCCTGGCTTTTGTAAACGGATCGTTGGTACAGATGCGCAGTGTGTCACTTGGACTGATGGGGATGACGAGTTTACCAGTACGTGGCCCTTTCCATCCCTTTCCGCACTAAACGCACATGAAGCTGCTCATGGTCCTGCTCAGCTTGTGCTTGCTTTTCAAGCGCAAAGACGAGGACGTGCTGCCATCCATGACAACATCCGGGATGTTTCATTCCCGCGCCAGGGTTTATGTGGCGGGCGATGTCCGCCGCATCGAGCGGATCGACTTTTAGACGAAACATGGCATCGAGTGTTGAACATGTTTCGTGGGTGGCGTCGACCTGTATGTACAACGCTTGGCCTTAAGGTCAGACTTGCTTGCGCCGCGGTACGATTGGTTTGAGGTCCGTGAGGGACAGTGACCGCGCCAGGGACTTTGACAGGACTGGCGCGTCTCGACTGGCAATGGCCATCGGGCCGCGCAGGCACTTGGCTAACGTTGATGCAGGTGCTTGCGGTGGTGGGGACGTCGACAGGTCATTTGAAGAGAGGTTGGCTGTGGTCGTTGCCTGGGCACTGTTCGGGCCACGACGACGTCCGAGTTTCTTCTTTGGTTGCGCCAATTGATGCAATCGCGACGACGCCGCGGACGCAGGTCGCGCGGCCTTTGCCGTCACAATCGACGATGACGCGGTCGACTGTACCGATTGATGCGACGCTTTCGGAATACAAGCCCTCCGTGCCTCGTCCAGGCGCTGGTACATGATGTAGCACAAAGCACACACATGCACCTAGAGACGACACACACGACATTCCATGAGGGTGTAAGGTCATCGATCCCTGTGCCCGCTGTTGACGCCGCCGTACCATGTCGTAGAACGTGGCCAAGTGCTTGGTCGAAGCCGCCACGTCTTGGGCTGCTTGCACGTGTGTGGCGTTAACCGACTGGGGCTCTTCCTGCAACGTTCATGGGGTCGAACATACCTTGCTGGTCAAACCAATGATGGGCCTTGAGCAGCCGGTTTCGCGTCACAAGCATCGAATCGACCTCGCGCAGGTTGGGGATCGTGTTGCGATAGCTGGCCATGTCGACGGCGTGGCACAGTTCGTGGGCAAGTTGCCCATTTGCATCTTGGTGGGCCGCAACGAATGCCAGAAACGCGCTCTCCTGCTCCGCCACATGGATCGACTACTCGCCAAGGTGGCGGCGGCAAGTAAGGTCATGCATGCGGGCGCACGTCGTGCACCTTTTGTGAAATGACGTTTTGGGTCGTGTGGACGTGGCGTCTGGTAGCGACCGACATCATGCAAAACCGACCAGGGCACAACAAGGACGCCTGGGTACGTGTTTGGTGCACACCCACTCCGAACGCGACGCTTACCTCGGTGCCATGGCGATGGGGCTGCGTGCTTGGGTGCGCCGACTGGGGCCGAAGCATGACCTGGCGAGGCGCTGGCGGCGCCATCGGCACGGGCGCGTCCCTTCGGTCCTCTTCAAAGACAATCTACTCGGCAGGGCAGACCGTCATGGCGCAGTCCCGCACGATCTTGACCACATGTTCAGGATGTCGTACGCTGGCGACACGAACTAGAATCAAGCGGCAGGTGGCAGTCAGCACAAAGTCTGCGTATAACTGGAGCACGTGGTGCTTCGTCCCGGCCTATGCCCAAAGTTTGAGCTCTGTAGGTTCAGTCACACAACGGACTTCGATGCACTGGACAAGCTTGAGGATGTCGTGCTTGAGCGCATCGTCGTAGGCCGACCCAAGTTCCTTGGCCCAGGTTGCATCGACTGGGAGCATCGCCAACTGCGTGACCCCATCGGAGGAGGACCTGAGCTCGAAACACACGTCGGATGATGACACGAGCTCCCCATGGACGGTCCAGTGAGGGTGTCGTACACTTCGGTCGTCCCAAAAAAGTAAGAGGTCGGTTTGAAAAACTTGACGCGGGCCTTTTGCCCGCACGTGTTGCGGCAGTACTTGCCGGTATACGTGGCGTGGTTCGGTCCAAACTACCCACGGCAGTCGTCGAGCGGCTGCTTGTCATGGGCAATCGAGCGCTACCTTGCCGCAAATGAACGGCGTAACGAGGTACGTGGACAGCCACAGCCGTGAATTCGAGTTGCACGCATGCGTGTTGAACTGGACGTCCTGGAGCAGCGAAAACGTCACGGTGGGAAGGTCGTCTTCGTGGGGGGCCATCTCTTCCTACGTCAACGCAGATTCGACGTGGTGCCGGTCAACGCGTTCGATCTACGTGAAACAGGACCGCCAGTGTCCGGGCGACGTTGCACGTTTGGTGCAGCCCTTGTTTGACAAACACCTTCTTGAGCTCCAACAGCGACAGAGCGTACGGCTGCTTCTCGCGCACTTCCTACGGACCATCGATGCCACATGACAACCTCGTACGAAATATCGAGGCCGCCCGGCGTACCCCGTCCGTGGATGTAAAATACCAATGCGCCAGCTCGCCGTGGTGCACGACCACGGCGTCAGCAATGTCGATGGTAGCTCTAAACAACAGCGCTTTAGGACGAAAGGCACGATATCAAGAGCCGACGGCGGACGGCACCGGCATTCACGGAGACACTGGTACACTCTGCATATTTGTGTGGTCAGCCATCAAATTTGCCAGGCATCACTGTGGTCCCACCGCAAAAGTCGTTCACGTTGAATGGACGGATCCGACGCAATCGCTCGGATCATGGCTTGCCTCTCGTGGCCCATATCGCGCCCAATGTCGTCGACCCACGGCGCTTGTTTCGATAGTCAAGACTTATAAATAGGAAGCGCCCCTTCTTTTTCCCGTGATACGTATGCACACCATGCCGCGGCGGAGAGCAGTGTTTAGCCGCTGGTGTATCGAGACTGCGTCATCGACCTGCTTCCCAGCAACAGTTTTCAGCCCTCCCATCGACGTCATAGGGCCTTGCCAACGTTCTACCCTCCACCAACCATCACCGTCCTCTTTTGGCTAGCTTTGATAATTGCTTCCACGCAATATCACACTCGTTGTGCGGCGTGGGGGCATTTGACACCGCATACGCCAAAGTGAGCATGCAGAATCGCCTGCGATACCTCCCACGACAGTGATGAGTCCGCCTACACAATCGGCGACCCTCTTGTGCTCCAAGGTGGATTATTGCTATGCGTGGCAATTGGGCCAGGACGATATTTACTGGCACAGCCGTTGCTTGCGCTTGCCAACAACTTGCTTCTTCTTCTTCTTGGGTTGCTGGTGAGGTGGGGTCGACTTCTTCTTGGGGACGTGGGGTCTCTTTCCGTCTGGCCTCCTGGCGTCTGTCTCGGCTGGTGTCGTTCGTGGCTGGACGGCGCGGCACCATGCCTGCACGTCCGCGGGAATATCTTGGTCGGTCTCTTTGACTAATCGTAGCAACTTCTTCACAACACCGCGGTCTGCGTCTGTCACGTACGTCACGGCCATACCAGTGGCACCGGCGCGGCCAGTGCGACCAATGCGATGGATGTAGGTTTCCTCAGAATCGGGGCAGTCGTAGTTGATCACGGTGTGGATGTCCTGAACGTGGAGTCCTCGGGATGCGACGTCCGTAGCAAACAACAGCAAGCACGTGCCGTTCTTGAATTGGTTGAGTGACATTGCACGCTCGACTTGCGACTTATCACCGTGGACTGCGACGACGGTGGTCGGTGCCTGGCGCTTCTTGGCGGAGTTGGCACCGCCCTCCAGAGTCTCGGGCTGTAACTTGGCTTTGACAAGGGCCTCCATCGCATCACACCCTTGCTTTGTTTTGAAAAACACAATCGATTTCGTCGTGGTGTGGGCTTGACAAAACGCCACTAGGCGGTCGGCTTTGTCGTTGTCGCTGCCGCACACCTCGAACGTTTGACGGATCGACGGATTCACCTGGCATGCGCCCGTGATCACGGTCACCGCGTCGGGTCGTACAAACGACGCTGCCAGAGATTGCACTGCCACGGGCCACGTTGCACTGAATAATAACGTTTGCCGAGTGGCGACGGGCAGTAGCTCCCGCAATGCATGCAATTGCCGTTCAAATCCCAATTCAAGCATCTTGTCAGCTTCGTCCAACACGAGAATGTCGACCTTGGCAAGATTCAACGACTCACGGAAGTCCAGAAGGCGCCCGGGTGTAGCTACGCAGCAGTCGACACCCATCTCGAGCGCTTCCAGCTGCGCCTTCTTGTCGGCGCCGCCAAAGACTGCCACTGCCCGTAGCGACGGATGGAACGCTCGGAGGTATTTCTTGGCCTCCTTTTCGATCTGCGTCGCAAGCTCTCGTGTCGGGACTAGAACAACCATACGCGGATCCTTGGATCGAACTGGGAACGCATACTTGTGTTTGGCTTTCGTTCGCGTTTGTTGGATGCGTGTGGCTCTGGCGAGGTGGTGGAAGGAAGGCAGCAGAAATCCCAGCGTCTTCCCAGACCCCGTCTTCGCGATGGAAATCATGTCTCTCCTTGCGAGAGCTATGGGCCACGACTGCGCTTGAGTCGGAGTTGGTTCGGTGAACCCAGCGTTGTCCAGCGCTGCCAATACCGATGCCGAGAACGGCGTGGCCGTAAACTTTCGCATGGGGTCCGGAAGCGGCTCCGCGTCGGCATTCGTGGATATCATGTGCATGTCGCGCCACTCGACGGCGTCGATCTCGGCATCTGTGTCGTTGCGCTTCGGTGCGGTGTCGTCGAGAGGTCGCTTCGGTGCCATCGTCCTTGTTGCAACTTTTGAGTGGATGGCGGAATGGACGCATTCGATTGGCTTCTGGAGCTTTGAACCAGCCAATCTCCGTCCGCCAATTATTTTCACACCAATCAAATGTCCAAAATGCCGTAAACTGCCGAGGGGACGCTGCGAGGAACGTGAGCAGAGTGTCGAAGTCGCGCATGTTGGCCACGGAGGGGGTCGATGACGTGAAGAGTTGGCGCATTTGCTGAGGCTAGTTCCTCGTGCGCGGTGGATGCGAGGCAGGTCCCACCAACGTGGTGGTACAACAATGTCGGTTGGCCGCCGGGTTGGACGAAGATGGCGCCATCGGTCGTCGCTTTCAGGCGACAACAACCCACCCTGTCGAGAAGGAAAGTGCTTGGAGGAGATAGGGGCATGGATCGGTCGAGTAGAGTGAGAGCTGTAGCGACTCAAGCAACGACAAATGAAGAACAGCGCTGCTAGAGTCATGGTGTCACCAAGTCGAAATTCAAATCCGAAGTGCCCAGGACGCACGACGCTAGCTCCGCGACATGTTCTGTGCTTGACAACATACATCCGTTGGCCGAAATCAGTACATGATTGTGGTGGTGAAAGGCTAACCTCCAACTAATGGCAGGAAGCGTTTGTGGTTCAAGGCGGAGGATCGAATACTCTTCGAGCCCAGCTACCAGCCAGAACACACCGCAAGCGTTCCGATTCGTTGTTTCATTTTGACATGAGATAGTTTGTCCAGGGTCTGGGCACTGCGTCAGGGGAGTTTGATGACAAGGAAGACGTCGAGAAGGTCTGATGAAAAGGCGACGGTTGTTAGCCACGGACTATCGCGAGCATTGTCTATGTAGCGTTGCAATTCAAGCATGACCAACCTAGTTGATGTGTTGGCACGTGCGTCAGAGTCGGTATTGTGTCGTCGGCCGGCGCAATGCTCGCCTTCACGCAGCATCACATGGAAGACCATTCCTCGACGCCATCGTAGCCACAACTGCGAGCCATTCTAAACAAGACGCCGTCGAAGCGATCTTGGAATACAATGATATCGCCTGCATAGGCGATGAATGCCCCGGCCAAGTCGCAAATGGTTCGCTTGCCACCACCGCCAACTACTTCACGTGGAACCATGTGAGGGGCACATGGTTCCACGTGATGTAGTTGGCAGCCTTGCACGTTCGCCCAACCGCTGCCATCGCGGCCGAATGCTAGTTCGGCACTGCGTCCTTTGTCATGATTTGTACGCCATTGTCCTGATCATGGAGACAACAATGATTGATGGATGGTACCTGACTAGCACATGGAACTGGCGTCGGCGACGTGATGTTGTTGCGGGTGGCACCACCATGATTAAAGACGGCCAAACCATACGGCTCCTACACCCGTGCCATTTACAGGATGAGTCCAATAGGTCTCACTCCCTTAGGAGATCGCAACGCCTAACGGCCGCGTCTGTGGGTGCATGCAAAAGAGGTGCCTCGAACGGCACAGTCCCGCACCGGCCGCCACAGATGCCATTCTTTCGCTTTGAAAACACTCCCCCCTTCAAGTCCCGACATGATGTTGTTTTACCACAGACCACATCGCTTTCCCAAACGAAGGTCGACAACATCACCGCCAAGAACGTGATCGACGCTGCCTACACGGGCGATCAAGTGATCCAAGACGTCGTCGACGAAGTGGCTGACTCCTTGGGATTTGCCTCCGTCAGCTTTTGCCGCACGCTGGACCGGGAAACGAATGTGTAGTCTGGCGAGCCCAACGAACCGGGGGAAGCGTTCATCGAGCGAATCCGCGTCGCGTACACGAAGCACACATGGACGGACCTATTAGTTCGACCGGGTACGGCAGCCCCTTCCAGTGGATGCATTTCGTAGGCGCACTGACGTTGTTGGCGTCGTGTTTGGGAAGACGTCCGCAGGGTACGGCAGCGGCATCATTGGCGTTGAAGCTTTCAAAATCATGACCAACAAGACAACAACCCGACCCCATGACGTTGGTTCGCTGGCTGGATGGTCATTCGATTGCCCCAAAGGCGTCCGAAGATATCGTGCATCTCGTTGTCTTTCCAAACCAACCTGTTGGCTGCGCACATGCTGAACAAGGAGCTTTTACACTCAAAATCTCAAAGTTGCTGTGAAGATGGTGCGAGGACCAAATGCCCGTACGTGCATGCTGCCTCGATACACGGCAGTGATGTCCGCATCAGCACTTTGGTAGGCTGGAGCGTTGCAATCCCCTGCATGTCTTGCTGCATGGCCACACTGCCACCGTGATTCGGTCAATGCTCCACGTCAAGGTGAAAGCCAATGTGCCGTCGTCCGCGCCATCCAGTACACACCGCCACATGTCGACTGCCGCTACTTGGACGAGGAAGCTTTCCGCTTGATGACAGCCTTGACGGCCTCACACAACAAGGAGAATCTCTGGATTCCGGGCGAGTCGACAAGTTGCAACGACTGGTGGAATACGAACATGATGGATTCACAATTCACTCTTCTGGCACACTGACACTTTAGATTTCGTGCTTTTTGAACGCAAACGAGGCCGCGCCAATGATACCAGAATCATAGCCCACCGACGCCTTTTCAATGCGAACCTGCCGGACATAACGCCTTGAGCCACGGCGCTGACGAAGGTAGGGCGATTGCCTCTTCGTACCGGGTTGGGTAGCTTGGTCCACGTGTATCTCGTGTACGCGTCGCGAATGTCTTGGATAAACTGCTCACCGTTCTCTGCCAACCCGCCCGACAGCACAATGAGCTACACAACGTTTGTTGACATCGTTGAATCGTAACCCAAGGACAGCACCTCCGGGTCTAGAATCCGGCAAAAATTCACGCAGGCAAACCCCAAGTAGTCGGCTGCCTATGCACCGTCGATAACGTCAATCCTCTAGCTCTGTGCATCATCAACATAAAGAGGTCACATGCACCTCCGCGATGAGGCCCTTGGCAATGGCATCTCCGGCTGCCGCCGCTTCAAACACTTGCTTGGCCGTGATGTCGTCAATGCTGAGCTCCGCCAGTATGGTGTTGAGCGCTATAAGTCCGTGGTTGTAGAGCATGCACGACCGAGAGTACAGATATACTTTTGTCGGCTGCCTTGAGCTTGGCTTGCTGAATCAGCGCAGTCGCGGAACTATATTGCTCCAAGCAGCCGCGTTGTGTGCATCCGCAAAGACGACCGTTCGGGACCACGATCTATACACATGGTCATGATGCATCAAGCTGTCGCCTGTTCGTATGGAAGCGGATGTAGGACGCACCAAGTGGCCGCCTTCGATCATGCCAGTGCCGCCTGCCAAGATCGAGTCGTTGTTGACAACGCCAAACCCAATCCCAGTTCCGAGCGCTACACCAGACACGTGAGCTCATGTCGCCAACAACAATGGGCAAACGTACTAAGCATGATAAAGTGTTTGGCTTTCGACGCGGTGCCGACCCAGTGCTCGGCCGCGACGGCCGCGTCGGCGTCGTTGACGAGCGTGCATGGTACATGGAGACTCTCGTTGAGCATGCGCTCGAGGGCGACGTCCTTCCACGAGGCAAAGTTGGCGGCGGCGACGAGGATCCCGTTCGACACTTGGCCGGGGCAACCCACACCAAGGCCTGCAATTTGAGACCATGATACACCGGATTTTTCAACGCACTCTTTCACAACCGCAACACAAAGACCGACGACGACGTCCGACGACCGGTCGTCTTCAATCTTGCGTTGGTTCCGGGCGATGAGCACGCCATCAGCCGACACGACGCCGCACTTGACACTCGTACCGCCGATGTCGACTCCAATGTAGTGACGCATGATCGTGATGGGAGGAGGGGAAGTGCAGAAAGGCGTTGTGTCCGCAATGACATTCAACGAGATATCCATTTTCACAGGTAACCATTACCTTAATGAGTATCTCACACATTCTCAACGTGATTTCACAACGGTATACGTATGACGAGGCCCGTGCAGCGAGTCGGGCGCAGTTCATGATTGAATGGTTTTGTCACGTGTGGGACGGAACGAAGAGTTGTTCTGCAGTAGACGTTGCAAATTCCCACTACAAGTGCACCTTTTAAGGGAATTTAATCTCACAGGATTTCCAACCTCACGAACTTCCCATGAAACTTTGCGCTCGGTGGCAATCGTGTGGCCATGTACACACGACGCTCCATCGAGACTGAATGAAGAAGCCGAATTCACGTGGTGCACGGACGCCAAGTGATCGGTTCTTTGGCACCGCAGCAGCTGACGCCTGTGTTAGGTCGCTGCAGGCACATGAATCGTCAACCTGCCCTCTCACGTGGATTTTTCGTTCAGGAAACGAACTCAAACCGAAGGTGCCGCATGCTGCAAGGCACTTGTCGGGTCATGATATTTGGCCATCGACGAATGCACTCACCACGCGCTCCAAGCAATCCACCTCCCGAGCGCCACGAGATGCAGTCCTGCCATCTGTGGCTTGAATAACCTCAGACAATGGCAAAGTCGTGGGCGTCTCGGTCTGTTGCGGTATTACGCGATGGCGCGGCCAGAGCCAGGAGTGCCGTGAGCCAACCCACACACGTTGATATTTTTCTCCAGGTCGCACTGGTTCAGCTACTTGTGCTCCATTCGCCGAACGTAGTAGGAGGTCCTGGCGACACCTTCCGCCGAGCTTTGTTGAGCTTTGCATGGATCGTCGCGATGCGTTGGTGCAATTGTAACACGTCACGATTTGTGGACGCGCGGTAGATGTTGAGCTCCGATTGTATCTATGCACCATTGTCAGTGTCTATGTGGCGCCACCTAGCCCAGAACTCCACGCAAACTGACTTTGTGGTGTTGCTGTCTTGCGAGTTTGTGTCGCGCTTCCAAGTGCGCTCTGAAACCCATGGCATGAGCTCCACAAGAACACTGGTTTGATCCAGGACAGACCTGATCTGGGCCAAGGCGTCGAGTTTGTGGGGAGGGTACGTCTGCACGAGCAGCTGCTTGGTCAGCAGCTCGATCTTTTGCTGCATGGCAGCGATGCTGGCCTACAACAACGGTTTTGGCTTAGCTCGACGTGTTTCGGTGCAGGGGTCCGTCGAGATGACCAGACCTGGACAAATTCGAGCTTGGCTCGCGAGTAAATCGCAACGTCGTCCAATTTGTAGTACTTGATCATGGCCACGAGGTGCTTTGTCATGTCTGCAAGCATTTGGACGTTCGTCTCCAGCGCGTCATCGCACGCTGCTTCCAACTCGTGGCGCTTTCTTTCCATGCCTTCAATGGCAATTTGCCAGTCCTATCGTGGAAGCGTCGAACACGTGATGAGCTGTGGAGCAAAGGGGAATCCGTACGTGGAGTTGTTGCGGCAGGCGGTGCCATTCTGATGTCGGGAGCGGGGCATCGTGACTCAGTGGGTAAAACATCTTGCACAATAGCTCGCACTTTGCTTGAAGGCCTTGCTCAACGTCAGGTGGGACCAATACCTGCGAAAAACAACTTGAGCTCCGAGATCGCCCAGCCCACCCCACCCGCATGGCTTCTTTCATCATGCCCATCTGCTCCGTATCATCCAAGCCCCACGTATCGCGAACAATGTCTGGTGTGAGTCCAAATGGAACATCCTAGATTGGGACAGCGACATCAGCTTAAACGAGCACCTGAGCGAGGCAGCGGCCGTACCGACGGCATGGATGTGTTGACGTGGTGCTGGGTGCGCACGACAGACACAAGAGATCTCGCCATCTTGAGCACGTCGGTGGTGAATTCAATGATGCACAGATAAGGTCTGATGTCAGCTTACGGCTTTGAAGTTGCTCGATCCGGCCGCCGCTACGTCCCTGATGCCAGGAATACACGTTGGTCAGCTGGAAGTTCCTCTTCGAGCGAGCTGCCTTACGTTGCAACGACAAGCTTCAGTTCATGCAGCAGGAGCTTCGCTCGCATGTTGGCTTCTTCGTCATCGTGGCCCTACTCACGTAGCAGGTCGCATCATGATGAGCTCGTTGCGTGAAATCGTGTACGCATGTGCGAGTCTGCTGCATGGTGTTGTCGTCGAAATGTGCACGAAACTCGTTATCCGGATACCGGATAAAATGGCTGCAGATTTGACCACCAGAGTTGCAGGCACAACATGCATCGCGGCGTGCGCGCAAGCAAGCAGCTGCGGTGCGACCGATCGACGCAAGCGATTGTTGGGCTGATGGATTGCTTCTAGAGTCTCTTTTTCATTTGGCGTAGCAGTCGGATCCATTGGAACGCTCTTGGCCTTGTACGAAGACGATGCAGGTCGTCGGTTGCCCACTCCGCATCCCGATGCCCGACCGTCGCTGCCTCATCAAGACACCGTCTTGGTAGCTCATCCCGCCACGCGGTTCGGCTTTCCATCGTTGAGTAACGTCAAGGTTCGCGAAGGCTATGTCCTCGGATACGATCGACGGTTCGATGGCCGTGACTTTCCAAAGTCCATTTTGACGACTTGTTTGGTAGGTTGCGCAACGCAGCTTGGGTCGCTGAATACATCACGGTCGACTCGCTCAAGAAGTCAGACGACGTCAATCGGTTGAAAGCCGCGTTCAAGGCTGACACATCGACCCCGGAAGCCTTTCGAGTGTCGCCAGGCGACTACCTCAACTCTGGCTATGATCGTGGTCACTTGGCTCCTGCCCGTACGCTTGCTCACCCACGTGTGGGTCCACCATGAACAAACTAGCGGTTTTCGTTGCAGGAGACATGATGTCATCGAGCCAGGAATCTGTCAACGAGAGCTTCCTCATGACGAATATCTCGCCTCAGGTACGTCCGTTTGCCCAAAGCATCCTACAATTTCGACCGCATCGCCCCCACAATTCCTGGCCGGGTCATGTGCATGATGCAGCAACGTACTCACATTGCCGTTGCGATTAGGTGGGGAAAGGCTTCAACCGCGGGTACTGGTCCCGATTTGAAGGGTTCGTGCGCCACATTGCGTCGAGCTATGGGGGCGCGTACGTCGTGACCGGGCCGTTGTTTTTGCCCACGGTGAGAGCTCTATCGCGATGCTACTCAGCTGACTGCATCCACAATTGCGGCACTCGAGTGTTTTCAACGAAATATAAACCTAAACTGACTGCTACAGCGCGCCGCCGACAGCGACACGTACGAGGTCCGATACCCTGTGCTAGGGACGCCCGGCAACGCGATCGCCGTCCCGACGCACTTTTTCAAAGTCGTCTTGGTGCAGAAGCCGTCTGGCGAGTACTTGGCCGCCGGGTTCATCCTCCCCAACCAGAGCATTCCTGACCAAACCAATCTGACCGACTTTCTCCGACCGATCGAGTACATCGAGAGCGTGTCCGGGTTGCTGTTTTTCGATCAGGTGCGGAGCTGTCGTCGTTACGTTATCATGACTCGGGTACCTGACGTAGCTGCGCCACGTGCCGCCGCCAGCGGGTGGCCGTCCCGTCGCCACCAAGCAGCTGTGCAACGATATTGCTTGTACCCTGCCTGCTGCGGTCGAATACAAAAACGCAGTCGCCTCCAAGAGCAAGGGACACCAGTCGCACTAAACATGGTCGGCGCCATCCACGTCATTCTCAAGCCTCAACACTTCCTACTCGTTTGGAATTGAACATATACCACACCGTGAACCAGATCAACGTTGCGCACGGCTTACAGTCGCGCCGTGATGCTCATAAAGTCGGCCATCACCCACTTTTTTTTTTCAGTAGCCACACGATAACCCACGCAGACTCGACGACTCTGTAGCGATGCGGCGACAATTTACACAACACACGTCAACACGAACCAGATCCAGATCTGTAGCACCCGTTTATGTATCAAGAGGGAGCAGCCACAACCCACAAGAGTGCAAACGCGTCAACGTCACAGCCAGTCCAGACGGAACACGGTCAAGATGGAGGCATGCTGCTGCACTCGTCAACGATCGGTCGTTTACTGTGAAGGCTTGGCCGCCGCAGTGCCTCCCGCTGGGTTTGCCGGCGCGGGGGGGTGGTGGTAATACGCAGTGGGTGGCGGGGGCTGCATGGGCTGCTGAGCATACTGGGGTGCCGCCATCATGTACATTTCCTGGGGTTGGCCGTATGGAGCGGCTGGCGCGTACCCCATGTAGGCCGTGGCCGCTGCAGGTTGTTGGTACATGTGCGGGGGATACGCAATCACTTGCGGCACCGCGGCCGCAGCTGGAGGACGGTACGGCTGCTGGGTCGGGGCGGGGGTATGGCCGCCGTATTGCGCGCCCGCGTTGCTGTTTTTCTGCGATGCCAAATTACAGTGCGTCGCCCGGCCCTGTGCACAAACACCGCATTGAGTTGCTACAACATGCTCGATTCGTGTAGGGTCGTACGTCGATAAACTTTTGGGGCTGCGCCAACGCCCGCTTCGCGCCTCCCATGTGGCGGTACACGATGAACGCATACCCTTTGCTTTTGCCCGTGGCGCGGTCTTTGGCGATCGTGACTTCTTCGAGATCCCCATACTTTTGAAACTCGACTGTCACGCTTTCCGTGGTCGTATTGTAGTCCAGGCCGCGCAAAAACAGTTTGCGGTCGCTCTCGTCACCGGGAGGCCCTAAGTCGGCATACAGCACCTTGCTGGCCATCGGAGGTTGTGCGTAGCCGTAGGTAGGGGCTTGATGCTGCTGATATTGTTGGGAATAGCTCGGCGCATGAGCAGGCTTGTTGTGCTTGACTGGTCCAGCGTTCGGGTTGTTTTCGGGAACTGCCGCGAGATTGCACGCGCACTTGCGACCGTCGATTTCGAGCGGCTGCACCGACAACACTCGTTCGGCGGACTCCATGTCTTCATATGTAACAAACCCAAATCCCTTGGACTTGCCTGTGTTACGGTCCATGATGACTGTGCATTCCTCGATTTTGCCAAACGATTCAAACACTTGCTGCATGGTCGCAGTCGTCGTGTCCCACGACAGACCACGCACAAACAGCTTGCGATGCGCGACATCAACACTTGCCATCGATCGAATTTCGTTGTAAATGCTCTTGTGTTGCAGGGCCCTAAACGGTAAAAGATATGAATCAGGTGGAAGCAAGGGGAGGAAGCGAGACGGAAAGGGACACGTTACGCGCTGATGAGAATCGACACAATTTGTTCACGCGTGAACGGGCTGAGAAGTCGCGCAATCGCCTTACCCTCGGCCTCAGCATCGATCGTCGAATGATGGTGGGCGTGCAAGGTCGAGTCGACCTCGCCAATCTTTCGCTTCTTCGTTGCGGCATCAGGAGAAGACGCCGGTTCTTGAACCTTGCGCTCTTCTTCTGCACCTTCAGGGAGGTAATATCCCCTTTCGCGTTCAGAAACAGCGCTGGTCTCTTGATGCTGGGGGGTCGTCGTCGTCGGTGGCGGCGATGCAGGGGCGCTCATCTCTGGTCCTCCGAATTTCTTTCTGTTTTCGCCAATCGAATTCGTGTTTTCTTTTATCCGGACGATAGCCATGCTATTAATGCTATTAATAGTTGTGGATTGTGAAATATACTCAGAAATGTGGATATTTTACGAACATTAAATATTTGTTTAGATGACACAAGGCATATGCACCACGTGGTGCAAGTCTGGGCACGTGCGGAGAATAAGAAGACATAGATAACTAAACGAAACCTTGTCTTCATCATCGCGCCCCGTGCACCATTGATGTGCGTCGTCGATTTGTGCAACACTCGGTACTTTGAAATTGGCTTTCAGCACCTTGATACTTCGAAGTATATATTCTCAGCACCTTCCGGATACGACATCCTAACCGGATGATGATGGAGCGAATTTCGAGTTCGAGTGCGCGCTGGTACATCGATCCTCCCAGCGACACGGCCTCAACTCTCATGTACAGAACCATGCGGGAGTGCTTATGGATAGGTCGCAAGTAATGCGTATTCTATATGTAGATTGCATGATCCGCCGACGGAAACACGGCTTTGTCGTACGCGAAGACGACACCAGGAGACGATTGCGGTTGCCTGTCGACGACGACGACGGCACCGATCCAGCTGAAACGAGTTCATATCGAGATCTGCACATTCCAGAAACCACCGCGCTTGGAGAAGTACTCATGACGTTTGCAAGTACCAGTGTATCTCCGCGCTTGGTTGGGTCGACCGACACCAACATGCGCACAGGACATCCGACATTGGACGGTGCGACTAATCGTTTGGTATGGCCTTGGTACATTCACATGTGCCTCTGCACGGGAGGTCTTCTTGTGTGCTGGTTTGCCATGCTTCTGTCTCTTTCTATCGTGCCCACATCCACAGCTCGACTCGTCCTCCCATGTTGCACAGCCGTTATCGTTATTCTTGGCGGCATCGCTGTATACGCGTTCTTGGCATGGCTCTTGATGCGTGTTCCAGTCACGTCCGAGTTTGGATTCAAACTGTGGAATCGACTCTTTCACCATCCAGCCGCTCTGTCTCCCTTGCATTCGTTTGACAACGACAGAATCTTGCGAACTTTTGTCGAGATGTGCACGTGGGTTGCCATCGTGCTTGGGACGTATGCGATCTACCGCCGACCGCTCGTCGCCGTGCTGGTTGGTGGCATTTCTGGTATTTGGGTGGTGGCCATCGGCGACTTTTTCGTTGTGTACATTCGCGTCCAAAGTGAATTTCAACGACGACAGCGGCCTCAACCTCTCGGCGACGACGACGGCAAAGCGATGTCACCGTGGCGGCTGCAGTACGCTGTCATGACGGTCTCGCTTGGTTACGTCGTCCTGGGTCTCGTTCGCCTCGTGTTCAACTTGGTCTGGTCTGCTGCATCGGACTCGTCGGAAGCGACTGGGGAAGGTGCGAGCCGACCGCAATTGCTAGATTGTTGACCCGTTTATAGGCTCAAACTTGCTTTCTTTGCACATCGACACGGGTGACCAGCAACTCATAGCGTGGCAGTACATGCTCAGTGTGCTGATGGGCGTGTCGCTCATCGTAACAAGCGAGCTCCTGATGCTGTACGAACCAACGCGCGAGGCTGGCATGGTGCTGCAAGCCCGCATCGTTAACGCCAAGGCGAATTGGCTCACGAACCCAGTTCGGTCCGTAGTCGAGGTCGCATTTGTGTGTGGTGTGACAGCGGTCCTGAACCACTACGTGGACAACATGACGCTGTCGCTACAAATCGGCACCGTCATGTGTACAGGCTTCATCTTGTGCGGCGAGTACGCCGTGTATTCCCGGGCGCGAGCATCGCCTACCTTGCGTCCGCCATACAACGATCATTGGATGAAGGTGCTGCCTCTCCTGTCGTTGGCGGCGTTCATGGTGTATCAAATCGGTCGGCTGTTTTTGCAGCGACATCACGACATCCTAACGGCGTTTGTCGTGCCGTCCTTGCTTGACCTCATGGTCGTGGCAGCTGTGTCGAAATCCGTGCGTTTGGACGACGTGTGGGCTCGCCTGCGGTCGTTTTGCCTCAACGCAACCCGTCACCCCGCCCGAACGACTCTGGAAGCGATGGCGCACGCGTCGTTTCTTGCTGCGATGATGGGTCAACCCAACTCGGATCAGCTGCCGCGCTGGACAAAGGTCGTTGCGACCCTTGCGTTCGACATTGGGTTGGTGTACATGCAGCGACTTGGCCCGAGCGTGTGGGACGCCATCGATGCCGTGCGATATGCGTCATCCTGGCGCATGGACGTCGAGGTAGTCGTACCTCGTGCCACGTCATCGCGACCCGAACTCGCGCCCAACAGTACGCTCTTGATTTGGGCCGTGCCGGAAGACGACGTTCTCGAGGCGGATCCGTCGATGTTTGCTGGGTCGCCGGGCAACCTGCGCAACCGTGAAATCTGCCACATCGTCCACGTGTCGACACTCATCAACTTTAGTGTCATGGTGTGTGTGTCGGTGGCTGGGTGTTGGTACGGCTTCGACCTCTTCCACCGTGTGGCCGGGATCGCGTCGACCATGGCCATTTCCATCTTTGTTTCGTGCTGTGCTGGCGTCGTGGTGGGCCTCTTCACGAGCTCATCCCACGCGACGTTTCGATTGCTACGACGCGTGGTTGTGCTGTCCATCAATCAGCAGTGCGTACTCCATCCTGTCCAAGTCTTTGTCGAAGGCGCTGTGTGCCTCGGGGTTCTTGCTGGGACGTATACCATCTCTGGAACATGGACGACGTCGGTCCTGCTCGCGACCGCATCCGTGGTGGTTGTCGTCGGGGGAACGCGGTGGGTTGCGCATCGGTGGTGGTGGCAGCGGTTCGTACCAACGACAGCATCAACGTCGTTGCCGACCGATCAAGCCACGTTTGCGGTCGTGTACTTTATGGCACTGCTCTCGACGTACGCGCTGGGAATGAGCTTATTTTTCATCTACAACTTCATTGACCGCATCGAAGTCGCGTTTTGCCTGGCGACGCTGTCGGGGGTCGTGTTTGTCGCCGCCAGTGAGCTGTGCATTATGTGGGGCCCGACGCGGGCAGCAGGCATCGTCCTGCAGACCCGCGTGACGCACTGCGTTCAAAACTGGCAGGTTGAGCCGCTGCGATCGTTCCTTGAGTGTCTTGTGTGGATCTCAGTCACGTACGGCACGTTCGTGCTTTACCATGACGTGGTCGTTGCGCTTCATCTCGGCACGTTGTCCGGCATTGTTGTCACCCTCGCTGGCGAAGTTTTCCGAAGCCAATGGCACCTCCACCCGTCCCACCCGCAGATATCGCAAGACGGCAACGTGCACCAACGGCCCAAGGTCTTGCCGCTGCTTCTTTTGTTTGCCTACGTCGGGGCTGGCACGTTCCAGTGGATTTTCGAGCACCTGCGACGGTTGGAAGTGACGGTGGCGCTCGCGACCGTTGCTGGCATTGTGTTTCTGTGTGTCGCGGACGTGTTGGCGATGTGGCGCCCGACTCGATGGGCAGGTGTCATCCTGCAAGATCGGTTCTTGAATGCCAGTGAGCATTGGCAGGTACGTAAATGCACTGGGGAGTGGACATCATATTGCGCTTGCCGCCATTCCCAACAACGCCATGTTGTTCGCCATGTGATAATGGTTGTTTGGTAGATGTTTCCCGTACGAAGTTTCGTCGAGTCGGGGTGTTTCTTGGGAGTAATTTATGGCAGTCACGCGATCTACGGTGACTTGACCGTCGCCGTGCAGTGCGGTACACTATCTGGGATGCTAGTGACCTTGATTGGTGAACAACTGAAGTCCCATCGCCGCACGATGTTGTCTGCTCCCCCGACTGGTTTGTACACTCGCGTGGAGCTCACTTTTGACGGTCTTTCGCAGGAGACAAGCAAATATTGCCGTTCCCCATCATTAGCGTGCTGGGTTTTGTGGGATGCGTGGCGTTCAACACGATCTACACACACCTGCGCAACATCGAAATGGCCTTTGTGCTCGCCACAACTAGCGGCGTTGTGTTTGTCGTTCTCGGCGACGTGTTTGTGTTTTGGGCTCCAACGCGGTATGTTGGCCTCGTACTGCAAGAGCGCGTGCTGCATGTCCCGCGAGACCTGCGGCAGTGCTCGTGGCGAGGCTGGTGGGAACTGACCGCGTGTACGGTCGCCCTGTCGGCTTCCTACTGCTACCTCTGGCAAGGCGACTTGCTGGTGGCCATTCAACTTGGGACGTTCACGGCAATCGTCGTGTGTGTCGTAAACGATCGCATTTTGAACTCGATCAGCCAATATGAGCAAGCGATGGTCCATCAAGGCCAGTGGCAGTACGTTTCGATACTTCGGTTGATCGGCTTTTCCTAAACGTGTCCATTTCCAGTGCCCAAGACCAGTCCAAGCTGCTTGCGATGCCGTACGAAGTATTGTTTGAAATCGCGCGGAATTTGCGTCCCGACGAACTCTTAGTTGTCCGCACGACCTGCCACAAGATCAACACGCTGTTGCGTGCCGAGTCGAAGCGATTTTGGCTCCATGCGACGCTCCGACGCCAATTTGGCTTGGCCAAGTCGACGCCGTCGCTCAATACGCATCGATCGCTTATCGTGGACGCATGGACAGCGGTCGTCCCCAAGCTCTTTGCTCCGAGGTAGTGTCCGTCGTTCGATGGAGCTTGAAGCCGTCTTCTATATCTTACGCACATTCGTCGCCTTCTTTGACGTGCCAGGGAGCCGTCCACGGTTCTATCGTCCAAGCTGGCGCACAACCGGGCGCTCAAGTGGGTGTTTCTGAATGCCGACTGGATTCGCGAGCAAAACCTACCCGTTCGCGACTCCCCGACTGTCGAGTACGTTGGATTTGTAGAGTCGGTCAGTTTGTGGGCCTGACCTACCTGCGCAGGCTCGACGTGCATGATGCAGGCTTTGACGTGTTTCGCCACATGCCAGACAAGGTTTGTCGGGATGGAGCTGAAACACCATGTCGATATAATTGCGGTGGCGATAGGATTTGCTGGGTATTGCCATGACGCAGAACGCCATGCTCGTGACGACCAAACTCTCCGTGCCTGGTCGCGTCTACGCGAGCATTCAAGCCGATCCGTTCAGTTTCGTCGTGTCCGAGACACTGTACGAACTCGAAGAGTTCTCGATGTGGTCGCTGTGCTCCGTCGTCTTTATCGCAATGGTCGTGGCTTGTCTTGGCCAAGCCGCGGCCGGCCTCGTTGCGTCGGTGTCGGGCTCGTCGTCCCCTCCTGCTTAGGGCCGAGGTATTTATTTCAAAATCCATGGAAACTTCTTCGCTGTGGTTCTGGCTGCCGTACATTGCAGTACATGGGCGAAGTACGAAACCATACAATAATTGTGTGTTCTCCGCGGATTCGGCCCAAATTTCTCGCAAACTGGTATGTCATGCGTCGGGACATGACATGAACCTCCAGCGATTATTTAATTGCACAACGTCCGTACATTTGTTTCCGTACAGTACACGTGTGCTCCACTGGCTGTTTTGACAAAGCGTCGCTCCGTGAGCTGGACATCTGGAGGCGGCAGCAAAGTCGACGGACTCCTTCCCCATTGCATTCATCGCAACAGATAGCGCGTGTGATGTTCTCCCGCACTGTGCTCGTTGCCGTGTGTTTGTTTCTGTTAACTGTTCATGGGTTGCTATCGTTTGAGGACGTGGACGCGTTCGAAGTCGACCCGACGTCAGTCACGCATGGCCAGTACACTTTGGTCGCAATCCATCCTCACGACCCCGACGCGTTCACGGAAGGCTTGCTCTTTCACGACGGCATCTTGTATGAATCGACTGGCCTCGACGGCAAGTCGTTCGTGCGGGAACACAGCACGAACCAGTTTGGTGTTCATGTCAAGGAATTCCGGTTTCCCGCCGACGTGTTTGGCGAAGGCATAGCCATCCTGGACGACAAGATCTACGCGCTCACGTACAAGTCCAAGGTGGGATTCGTCTTGGATAGAAAGACATTCGCCCTCCTAGACACATTTCACTTTGAAACGACGACGGGCGAAGGGTGGGGTATGACCACGGACGGACACAGCCTCATCGTGAGCGACGGGTCGGCCGCGATCCTCTTCCTCGACCCGAGCGACATGCATGTCGTCCGCACCATCAACGTGACTCGCGCCGATGGGTCCAATGTGCGAAACGTCAACGAACTCGAATACGTCCAAGGCGACTTGCTCGCCAACGTGTGGTTCACCAACACGATCTTGCGCATCGACGCGGCCACAGGGCGTGTGATTGAAACATTAAATTTGGACCATTTGCCGACGCTGGAAGGCCACGTCGGTGCCATGCATGGGCGATGGAAGGCCGACGCAGTCATGAACGGCATCGCGTATAACCCCGCCAACCAACACGTGTACGTGACGGGAAAGTTGTGGGATTCCATGTTCGAGCTCGATTTGAACGCTCCTCGGCACCACATTCGCCGCCACTCGTACTGATTGCGCCCATGGACGACCGATGGATCGATTCGTGGTCGTTTGTGTAGCTCGCGGCCAACACAGGGTTGGCTGCATCAAGAGCTTCAGCAGTTCCAACTCCCCGTAGAGGGTCAAAGCAATTGTACGTTCACGGGTTCGTGTCGAACAAGCTAAGGTGCATATTCATCCACCGAGATACAGAAATTCGTCTTTTTGTTTTTGCCGCGTCCTGCCTGGCTGTACGACAAACACCGGAGCCGATGGAAAGGATCGCGAACCTTCTCCCGAGCTTGTGGTGCTGTGCGAAGGATTGGGGCCACTCTACAGTGAACCGGGAAAATACACGCAAGCGTTGTACTCCCGAGGATTTTGAAGTTTGTATGGTTGTCCCTTGGTCAGCGAGCAAACAACACTTCGTGATTGTACCCATCTACTTACTACCTCCGTCCCGGTTTAATCACTCCAAGCAGCAATTTTGTGAAACGAACGCAATCTTTGAAGGCCCTGGTGTCGGAAGCGTTCATGTCCATGCACATTCATGTCCAGACTTTTGATTGGTTAATTATCCGGTCATCCGGACTCTGTTCATGCTCACTTTGGAGTGAAATGGGCGTGGACCAATTGTCCATGCCTGTTCCTGTCTTGCATCACGAAAATACTGGATGGCAAGGGGCCAAGTCACGGCAGTGGCTGCCGTCGAGGCGTCGTACTCGTCTGTCGACACACAAGGTTAGTCTCAAAAGTCATGTGGACCGATGTTACGCGTATAGCCCAGGTAGCACAAGCCAGACGGGGGAGGTTGTCCGCTTGGTGGAGTGTGTCCCGGTCAAGGAAGAGACCAGCGTGGCCTGGTGCAGTGAAAGCGTGTCGAAGCTGTTTAAGCTCCGCTATAAGTCAAATTTTTCTCCTATGTTCGACTCGAAAAACAACAATCAAAAGAAGCTGGCGTACGCGTCCCTTGCGGCAGAGCTCAGCGTACAAATGGATCGGACATTTACGTCCAAACAGCTCCAGGACAAGGTATTATCTTCTCAGCATGCGTGATCTAACTTGAATAGTTTGCTCGAATGAGATCGGAGTGGTCAACGTCGAAGCCATCGAATCCCCAGCCAACCGGGAACAAGAAAGCGACCAAAGTTCCCTCGAACTACGACATCATGCTGGAATATTGGTCGGAGCGGAAGGGCCTTCAGCGTGAGTCCCTGCTCTCTACGGACGATGAATCTAGGGAGGCTGCAATGCCTAACGGTGCGTGCCCAACTACTGCGAAAAACTCATGTGATGAATTGTTGGATAGAGATTTTGGCTGTCAAGAAGGAAGACCTTGAGGATGACGACGGTGGTCGCCCCTCGAAGAAGC